CATTACTTAATTTTGTGACAAAATCTGCCATCGTATGCTTGTTGATTTTCCTTACTGTTTGATATTGTTGATTACTGGGCTGAAGGTCAATATTATTTATTTCTATGAGTTGAGCATCATGATCGGATAAGCCATTTATAAAGGGTCCTACAGTATAGTCTCTTAATTTTGAGTTATCAATGAATATATTATCTATCGCTGAACTAGAATTATTTTGAACTCTTGTGGGAAAGTTAACAGTACTGGAGAGATTGTAAGATGATAACAAAGAGTCTAAATTTAGTTTCCTATTACTGTCGATGAGATAGTTTATATTTATATCACCACAAATTATAAATTCAACTTTTGAACTATGCAGTACATTTAGGATGGTTTCTAATCTATTTATAAAGTGATTGAAGTTTCCAGATGGGGCTCTATATAAAGTCAGTATACAAATATTAGAAAAAGGAGAGTCTAACTTTAGAGCACATGCTTCCAGATCCTGGTCTTTGCAATAATCTTCTAAATTTATTTTAGTAAATTTTAGGTTTTTGTGTACAAAAATACTCACTCCTCCTTTCTCCAGTGTTTTCCTACAGTATCTAGCACCTAAATTATAATTTTCTAAGTGAAGATGTTCTAATTCCAGCTGTTTCATGTGATGTTCAGTAAGGCACAGTATGTGTGGAAGATTTGAATTCATGGAGCTTATTAGTTCATTTGTTTTGTTTCTCAATCCTCTTATATTCTGATGGAATATTCTTAGTACTTTATTATTCACTGAATTTAGTAGACTGCAATTACCTTTTCCGATTTCTATTGGTTCGCTTACATTATTGTCTGAAAGATTAGTTTCTTTTGCAATTTCTTTTACTTGATAAACTTTACTTGCACTCTTTATCCTAAAAAATGATTCTGAACACCCATGACAACTGGAATGTGTCTGCCTTTAATGCTCTCTGCAATGAGTCGCGTCAGCTTGTCCTTGCCTCGAGGATTAAGATGCAAACCATGGACAGTGTAGGCAGGAACAGCGTGATCATAGCAGTGAGTCTGTTACTGTATAGGGGTTGTGTGTATCAACTCGTGCATTAAAACAGCACATACTTTGTTGGGAAACCCTAACAAAGGATTATCATGCAGTGAAGTTTGTGGTCATTGCAACACCCCTAAGACCCTCATGCAAAACTGAGCCCACACTAGTACACCTATATGCTCCCTGAGTCCTTAAAACCTAACCATGGACTGAAACCACATTGCACTCAATCAATCAAGGCAGTTTTAACTCACCTGAATCAAATCAGTTACCATAATAGATAATTCAAAGAGGAAGGAGAGTTTAGAAAATCAATGAAATCGCAATTTTTTGAGCTTCAAAGGGTGCGGTGAGACAGCCCACAAACTGGCCTAAAATTACAAGTTTAAAGTTGTGCAGAAACGAATGTTGTCTCACTATGTAATAGTAACAAAAAAGCATCAAGAAAGCTGTAAAATCAAAAGAACATATGTGCAATGGAGTACTTTTCACTGTAACATAAATATCAACATCTTTCTGTATGGGTACTACACATTTACATTACATACACAGACAGTCTGTGGTCATCATCTGTCTGTTTATTTCCTTCACATTAACAAACCTTTCATTATTTCTAACAAATTTGCCCTTAATAAATGACATTCAAGGAATGTATCCCTTTCATAAAATAAAGAATCATTGTGTAGCATCACTTTCAAAGCATGAAAGCATACTACTAACTTCCTGGTCAACGAGTGCTCCCCTTCATAAATCGGTTCCTTCACCCTTCCTAGGGAGAAGACAAAGACAGGAAAAAGAAAAAATACTATTTCACCATATAGCAACCAGAAAACTGAGACACACTGCACAAAGCATGATGAAACGATTCAACATCTTAAAACCATATTCAACAAAATGCAACAAAAGCACTGCCTTGCTGTCACATTCAATACTTTGAGCCATCATCCTGAAGTATACAGAAAAAGTTTACAATTTTCACTTACTCTCTCATTAAATAAAATTCAATAATAGCAACAGATCTAAATGAATTAACTTTTGAGGCATACATTATTCTGACAAAATATTAGTTTAAGAACAATGCACAGAATGTCAGAAAATGCTAAATCACCACTCTCAAACTGAGTGGAAATGAATTAAATTTTGCTGCCTTGTAACAATCACAGAAATTCCAATATGCAGTTAATTCCCCATTCTAACAGGAAGTTGGAGAGAGAGTCATTTACTGGAATGCATGCTCCCTTACTTGTATATGTCTGTTCATTAAGTTATAGTTGTGGTACTTAGAGCTGACAGTCCACAAAAAGCTGCGCAGTGGATAGGCAGGTCCTTTCGTGAAAGTTGAGGGGTGTTGTGATTACTCATTTGTCTGCATTAAATGCAAGCAGACGTCTCAAGAGCATTCTTCCTTGTATAGTCAAGTTAAAAAGTTTTGACTCTTGGAGTCGTATTTGAGTTTATTATTCTCTATTTACTGTATTAATATTGTGACGCGTTACCTTGCGTTCATCGCCGCGCAACGGCTACAGTGGAAATTGTTGAGTTCCAACAGCGACAAATCGAATACAAACAGACCGTTGCGAAGGAGCATTCCCGAGGCAACGGATTGCCAAACACGTGAGTTTGGAATAGGCACTTCCATGGTAACGCAAAGAACATGGAGCCGTTGTGTAGACAATGCAGAAGCAACGAACGCGTCTCCCCTGAAATGAACTACAGAGAGTTCGTTGTCCCCTTTACGTAACAGCGGACAGTATAAACGAAACAGTGAGGAATGGTGTCTGGTATCCAGTCCACAGAACACCTACATAAGCCAAGAGCTACAGAGACAGAAGACAGCAACAAGACAGCAAGAGAGCTGTCGCCGAAGACAGTTGAGATCCAACCACAGACATAGATAGTTGAGACGTCGCATTGAAGTACTGGACCAGAAGTCAAGTGGTGACAGTGACAATATTTTATTTTATTGTTTATTTTTATTCGTTGATTTTCTTTTTTGTTTATTTATATTTGTTCATTTTTTTCTCTCTCCTTTAGCATGCCACCTAAACAAAGTAAATTGAGTGGAAAAGTGTTGCATTCACAATCAAGAGAAATTGTTAGTAATGTATATAAGCATATGAAAGAGGCTGGTCCAACAATTACAGTGAAGAACATAGGAGTGGAAGTAGCAAGGGCAACAGGTGTATCGGAAAGTAGTGTCAGAAGAATAATAAGAGAAACAAAAAATATCGAATCTGGGGCTTCCACTTCCTTTTCGACGCCCCATAAAGAAAGACCTAGGAAATCTCCACTAGCCACTTCGAGCATTGAGCAACAATTAATGGCAGGGAAGGCCTTTTGAACGCAGGACGGGAGTTCATCTTCCATGTTGGCGGTGATAGTGATGACAGTTCTGATGATACCTCCGATTCATCTGGTGGTGACGAGGAAGGACAGGCATGTGGAGATGATATCTATGCGGACACTGCCGGTATTGCCCCTTTAGAATAGACCCGTGTAATATGTAAATAAACTCTTCATGTATATAACAGTGAAAAGTGTATAATAGTGCATTGCATAGTGCATAATGGTCTGCCATTCAGCACTTAAAACTTAACATCGGATGTGTAAACATCATCGAGACTAGACCGCCAACACTACACAACACAATGAGGTAAGAAATTATTTCCTTTTGAGAACGCCTGTACTGCATTCCCCGCCACACTTGTCGCCATGCTGGAGCTCTCCCCACCACTACCAATACTTCTCCTACTCCGCATCAGAGAACTGTCAGCTCTAAGTACTAGAGCTTTAGTGAAACTGACAAAACAATAAACAGATTAACCTACAGGTTCACAAACTTGATTCCTTCAGAAATGATATCTTCAGCGGTTTATGTAGTTAAAACAAACATGTACTGTCTGGAAAATGTGACGCTTCTCTCATGCTTTAAAACCTGTGAGCTCCTGTGAGCCAAATTCCTTCGATCCTAACACCTTTCAGTGCCATATTTTTAAAGCAAGAACTCTTTACAGTCATATCAGTAGTGTGAGCATGCATGGAGACCTGTAGTCAGACTGCCCTACTTCTAGGCAAGGAGTCCATACACAATTCACAAATACTATACACAAGACTGGAACCAATATAGTGTTCCACCGACCAACAGGAAGCAACTGAGACAGAAGCCAGTTAGGTCATCATTCCAGAACATGAAAGGGAAGGAAGTCAGGTGATATATGGAGTGATGGAACACAAAACAGTAAAAACATCACAACCAAAACATCATGAGGGGAGAGGGGGGGGGGGTATAAAAGGCAACAGGTAAAGACACTGGCCTGAAAGTGCCATTCCTGAGCCTTCAAATACAGCACAAGGCTCAGTGCCAGAAAAGTTTAGAACTCGTGGATGAGAAAGATCAGGTAAAGGTAAACCTATCCCTGTAACAGGCTGCGGAGACCCATAGAGTTGTGATGTCCAGGCTGCCACATTTTCTAGACAATCACCTCACAGATGGCGGTGAGGTTATCAGCCTTATGCACCAGCTGGCCGCCCTTTACCCCCAGGAAGATTCCCGGTACTCATTTCTGTTACAGGCAGAACCGACCCCAGGGCCATAGTGCGGCTGGAAGGATTAGGTCAACTGAAAAGTCCAATGACCTCATCAGGAATCAAATTCCTGACCTTCTCGCTTGTAGCGTAGCCCCTCAACCAGCTATTTTACCATGTGCCCTGGATGAGGAAGGTTAACATTTGGGGCTGGCACAGCTGGTTTCACAACAGTCAGTGATTACAGTTCAGGCTGGCAGTGAAAGACTTGATAATGAAGAAGTTAGTGAGCAGCATAAAGCAACAGAAACCACGGGATGCAAAAGAGACAGAGTTAAAACTCTGAATATGTGAATGGGTTGCATGCAATAGAATGCAAACAGCTGCCTCTCGGTGTCCCTCTAGACAGCCCCTGTGAGTGAACACACATTGCACAGCCACCAGGTGTGTCACTTACTTGCAAGTGATCTCCTGCGTCTGTTTAAATTCCTCCCAAGCTTGTTCATTCTCGTATTGTGCCTTCTGTTCCTCTTGAAGTGAGAGAGCCAGCAGGAAACTGACAACACACACTCAAATTACCCGCATTGTCTCACAGCTCTCCCAAACAAAACATAAACAAGTTGAGCACGGTGCCATATCCCACAAGACAGTGCTCTTCAAACTGGGAACGCTTCATACGGTTCTTCACATAGCACCTGCCTTAACAGGCACGTACATACTAAGCTACCTGCATTCCAGTACCACATCAATGAGGCACACAAGGAATACGCAAAGCCCCAAACACTCTTAACCTCAGCAGTTGATGGAGGTGAACCATAACAGCTGCACAAGTGATACGCTACAGACTGTACAGTCAAGGTTACAGCACCAGTGGAGGAATTGCAATTCTCTTTATAGGAGCGTTTTCTGGATAGCTTTTGGGCCTATTTAGTCCCCTGTGCCCTTCCCAGGGGTCAATGCAACCAAACCATCAATATGACCATTCCATGCTGAAATTAATAATATGTGGGGTTTTACCTCCAGGCCTCAACACATATTTTCATGGAATGTGGATCAGTTTACTATCACCACTTTCCACTAGAGTAGTTTTGGAAGTGCTCTCACAAATGGTTATGCTATTAATAGCTGCACAAACCATAAACAGAGAATGTGGTAATGAACCAGACTAGCAGCATGAACACGTGTTCAATCCGAATCATAGTCAACTGGTACTGAGGAAAGACAGGCAGCACACAAAACATCACTCAGTGTTTATGGCCAAGAACAGTACATGAGTCTGTACCACTGACTCTACACATATTCTTACATTAGAAACAGTGAAGACAGAGGAAGCATGTGTCCTTCTCTTCAGAACACACTTATGCAATACACTGCAACATAAAATATTACCTGAAAATAACACATGTATATTACAGACTGATGTGCCAGATTAATCCAGAATACAGCTGAAAATTCACACGTAGCTAACAAGAATGTTGTCGCCTTCTGAAACCAGTTCTTTCAATGGACCGTCCCCTCAAAACAATCAGCAAGAAATCGGTGACACCTGAGAAATGACATTTGTCTAAATTCCAAGCTGCACTACAAGAAACTGAACTTGAAAGAAGTGCTCTGTAACACGGTGAGGAGACAGCTTTGCACTGCAAAGAAACACATGTTGCTATGAGCCTGTGAAACACAATTGTAATATTTACTGTAAGAAATATAACTTGATGTTTTACATCAATATTCAAATGTGAATAATTATGTGACATTCAATGTGTACAGAGTGCAAAGAACAACTAACAAACCTAACTATGGTAATGAAACAAAAAGGTCTTCATATACTTTAGAGCTCCTAATTCATAACTATCCTCTGAGATGCAAAGATATTCAATGAAGGTAGAGTTTCTGGACAAGCATTCAGGACATCCGTCCATGTGGGGGGGGGCATAAAAAGGTAGAGCAAATCACAGAACTTTTTCATGAAAACAAATATTTCTCTGTACAGAAGAAAGAGTTCTGATGATGCTGTATAACACTTCAAATTAGTGTGTTTCTGGACTTGTCCATTGTTTGTTATTCTGAAAAACACTAAAGAACACAACGTTTTGGAAGCAGCATCTGTTTCCATCCTCAGGTGAAGAGACCAACAGATGAGCAAAATATAAGTTGCTGAACTACTGGCTGAATGTGTGGTATGGGTACTGCATTGCACCTTACATGCCCCTCTGGTTCAGTGGCTGGAAGCTCCAGCTGGCACAGGACTGGATATCTCATATCATTGCCATAATCCAGAAACAAACACAGGAAGTCCTTGCTAAGTTCAAAACAGAGGAATTCTGGAAAGCTTCCAACAAGGGCACAACTGCTGGACAAACTGCATCAAGCTGCAAGGAGACACTGTGAGATACAGGATAAATACACCAACACACAGAGGGAGAGAAAAACAATCCAGGAATTACTTGATCACACCACATACATGGGATGTAACATGTTTTCTTCCCAATATTTTGACATGCACACACAATCCGACATTTTAAATGAGGCAAAAAACTCTAACACTGTAAGCAACACCTCAGAACCTGTATGTCCTCTCCCATGCTCTGTCTAAATCTACTGATTACCCAGACTCACTCATGATTGATCTGCTGGTCCTCAGACACATCCAGGGGTAGAGCACGACAGGGCCCGGCTGCCTTGGGTGGCACCGTCACAAAATGGCCATCGACGAACATGCCATCACCCTCTATGTTTGATAAGGTTTCCCATACTACGCGGGGTTCGTGTAGGAATCCTTGGTCCGTAACCAACTGGAACAACTCGTTCTGCAAGCAGAGCACACACAGTGATGCACCAGTGCAGCGAGTAGACACGCAGGTGGCTAAGATCAAGGGAATGAGTGCTGCTGCACTTCTGGGTAGGGAAGGAGGTGCATCTCATGTTAAACACAATACTGGCTTATCAGAACATTCACATCTAAACTTGTAGCTAGATAACAGTAAACAGGTCACTTCTAGGCTTCTGAACAATGCTCTGTCAACTGCGCTCATTAGAGCCTAGAGCAGGAAATAAGAATGGCACTGTAATCATGAATTAGTTGTAAATGATATTAAGGCCACGCCATAGCTCAAGCAGTTAGTCGCTGGCTTCCCATTGAGGCGGCCCGGGTTCGATCCTGGGTCTGGCCAAGTGGGATTTGTGGTGGACAAAGTGGCACTGGGACAGGTTTTCTCCAAGTACTTCGGCTTCCCCCGCCCATCTTCATTCCACCAAATTCTCCATCTTCATAATCACCAAGACAGGCTACAATACGCCAATCAGTGGCTGCTGTGCTGAGCAGACCGAGTTGGACTCCACCACCCACTGAGCAACTTAAAATAAATGATATTAAAGCAGTGGCTGAGGCCTATTTTAATGGGTTAACCCACCATCTGCCTAGACAGACTGAGGAAAATCATGGAAACATTGTTAGAATGCTTCATGGAAGAGAGATAACTTGGGATTTCTTGAATATTAAAGAAAGTTAATGAGCACAGCAAAATGTTCAGTAAAGGCAGTGTTGTGCTTAACTAAGGAAGCACTGCGCCATGAACGCATGTGGGGGAGTCGATGTATAGATCCACAGATTCTTGGCTTTGTCACTATTTGGGAGGTGATTGGTCAGCTTCAGGCCCCCAGCCACTTTACCCCTGGGGAACATACCTATCGTATAGGAGGCTGCGTAAGCCCCACAGCTGGTCTGGATGAGCTGAAGGAGAGCCACCTGCTCTCACAACAGTATTTTCCTCAACTAATTTCTTGACCCTGAAGATGATGGCAATGAAACGTCATTTCACTTTCAGTGAACAACAGCAATCTTCATAACCACCTCTGGAAGAACCTCAAATCCTAGAGGCTTCACTAACTTTTAATAGACTGTCGCGCATGCACATCTGAATTACCACAGCCACCAGTGTGAGCACGCAATCAAGTCAGCAACACTACTAAACAAAAGCCACCCCTGCAACCAGAATGCCTTATGCTGTGGCCATTGATAACATTCCCAGTTCTTCTCAAACTCTTTACAGGGCACAAAGTAGCTAAATCAGAGGTGTACCCCTGACATGCATGTGATTTCTGCACCTCTCATGCCCTGCAGACACACAGTGTGTCACGTTACGTTATAAGTACACTCTAAAACAAAAGCAGTCATTCATTTTGATGTGTCTCTAATTCAGATTCTGGCTGAGACACAGAGCTTCTCTGCCGGACATCACTAACACTAAGAGAAAATTAAAAAGAAAAAAAACTTTCCTCTCCTGGCCGGCTAAGATGGTATATTTCTGACACAGAACAGGAAATAGCATTATTCTTACAGTCCGTGTTACACTCAGTAACCACAGCTCACATGGCACATCCAGGAACTGATGGAAAACACTTTAAACAACACATAAAAGAATTCCCACTGAAATATAAATATTTCAACATGGCTGAATGGTAACGGATGAATTTCCAGAAAAGTCTGAATGTGCCGACCAAACTGCTTGAAGCCAGGGATGTTGAGCCGCTGGCAATGGTGCCAAGTTCGGTAACAACTGAAACGCTGCCTGGCTCTGGTACTTTGTCTATATGAAGACCTGAACCCACTTGATAATTCAACATGTCACGAAGTTACAGTGCTTTCTGTAAGGTACAGTTTTGCTGTTGCTTTACGTACCAGCTCTGAATATTCAGAAACTTGGCTATTCACACAGATACAAAAATATAAAAAGGTAAAGTTGTCCCTGTGCTTAACGCCACGAAGGCATCTGGGGGAGTGGATGTATAGATCCACATTTCCTTGACCTCGGCATCAGTTGGAGGTGAGTGGTCAGCTTCACACCCTGGCAGCTTTACCCTTGAAGAAAGATCACCTGGTACCCAATGGTTAAGAGGCTGGGTGGATTTCTGAGCCGGTCTGAATGATGTGGAGACCAGAAAACCCTCTCCCCTACCAGGGCTCAGACTCTACCTCTTGGTCATCCAGCCCGTAGCCTGTTGCTGTACGGGCTACACTACTCTGGCTCACGGAGAAGCACAATGTGGTATTATTTTGTGGCCTATTTTGAATCATGGGCTACAGAAAATCTCTCAAATGATGCAACTGCAGAGTGTTTTGCTGTTGAACTCAGACAGACCCATAAGCCATGAACTGAAGAATGATCTAATAAATGTGCAACAGTGGACATCTGATTGAGGTCATAAGGCAGCGGCACTGGAGCACTAAGGATGGGTACAATCTCTTGTTACTGGCAAGAAGCTTCTGAAGTAAGTCAAGCACAAGGCAGGGAAAGCATCCGTAACTTAAGCTATCATTTCAGCTAAATTCATGACTCTCTTCACGCAAGTTAATACCCGGAGGCTGCTTCACCTTCTACTGCAGTTATACGGGATGTGTGCAAGCTGAAATCAAACTAAGCAAGCCATTTAGTGGACGCATGCCAAGAAAGAAGACTAAATCAACAGACAATAAACTCCACTCACCAACTCTTGTGACATGCCCAACAAATCTGACGAGGCTTCATCCACAGGTCCACACACCTGCCGATCAATTGCAACATCAAAATTGTATTTACAACAAATAACAACACAAACAATTATTATTATTATTATTATTATTATGAGGGATTTATAACTACACCTCCACTTCCTTTATGCACCGTCGTTTCTGAATGTGTTGCACAATATTCCCTTGTTTCATGCTCCAATTTATCAGTTATAGAGTGAAAGGACAGAAACTGTAATTCACAGTTGCCTTTATTTTTAAATAAAAATGAAAAACCCTGTACAGTAGACTCTCCTTAATCCGGAGTAACCGGGGGGGGGGGTCATCCAGATTAAGTGATAATCAGAATTAGTGAAGCAAAAGGTAGCCCTAAAATATTACAAAAAACTTAGAATACATATAATTGGAGAAGCTAATGACATAAGTAGTGCTGACAAGAATAAATAACAAAAATATCATTGTAGAGCATTTATTTAAAAACTACAAAAAGACAATACATTTATTCATCAATAGAAGACTCAGAAGCTGTACTTGTTTTTGAACGTGATAATGCAGGTCTGAAGGGGGGCATGCGATAGCGTAGTGGTTGAGGTGGTACAGTACAAGCCGGAAGGTCACGGGTTCAAATCCCAGTGAGGTCATTGAATTTTTTTCAGTTGACCTAATCCTTCCAGCCGCACTAGGCCCTGGGGTTTACTCAGCCTCTAACAGAAATGAGTACCAGGAATTAATTAAATAATCTTCCTGGGGAGTAAAGCGTGGCCGGCGCGTAAGGCTGACAACCTTACCGCCATCTTTGAGCCGATTGTCTAGATAATGTGGGACCCTCAACGTCTCACAACCCTATGGGCCTTCACGGCCTGGTACAGGGATAGCTTTACTTTTTTTTTTTTTAATATAGGTCTGAAGACACTGTCAAGTTTTGTCTGAAGAGACAAGTGACTCAGCTGCCTTCCTAAATGCTGTATTCAACTGTGAACACAATTTTTCATTTCAATCCAGATTAACTGCAACCTGATTAGCAACAGTTTACTGTAAAATGGAAAGTGTTCCACACAGAATACCTTTTGCCACACCTCCAGCAAAGGCTACAATTGCTACAGATGTTTCTTCAAAGTTCAGTGTGAAGCCAATTCTTTTGACTCATTTTACCTTTCGGTGCTCTTGTCAGAAGTACAGCCTGAAAAGTGCCTGCTTGGTGGTACAAACGTTATAAAATTAGATTCATCTTTCCATTCCTTCTGTGCAGTTAATAAGAAAAGTTCCTTAGTTCAAAAGCGGACTGTAGCCAATGTTCTAATTCTACAATGTACAGAGAACAATCATCACTTGCCAATCGTCTGCTGGAGCTCGCATACCTTTAACTATAAGCTACCATTTAATCCCTACGCTCATGTGGAGTTGCTCCATATGAACACAAGAACACACACGCATATGTGCACATACTAAATTGGCTAACATTAAAGCAAAGAACTTCTCTGTTACTAACTTCTAACAATGTTCTCAGGATGGTAACCTCCAACTCTTCTTCTTCTATAAACAACCCCCATAAACAAAAGTTTCACAAGACTGAAGTGTTGCTGCCAATACCCTCATTGCATCACTTTCTCTCTGGCATGAACACAACATTTTTAAACAGTTTCCTGTCCAGAAGTGACCACAATGATCTGACTTTATGGATGCTTACTGTGCTTTGATTTGCAATACTACGTAATATATGGTGAAATTTCCTCCCACACTTTCTAGCAGAACTGCATTTCACATAATTCACACAAAAATACCAGTTGTCTGATGGGATATCACATCACATTCACTACTGTAGCCTTATTCATTCACAATGACAATCACTGCTTAACGCAATACTTGACAATAATCAGCCTTATTCATTTACAACTGAATGGATACTGAGTAGAGCATAATGCATTTCAGCAACAATTACTAAAAGTGCTTGGGTTGAATGATTCATTCTACACACTTATGAGGGTTAGCTGGTTCCATAACGCATAAAGCCAGGAGATTGTGGGCCAACATTTTTGGGAAGGACAGAAGTACATGCACTGTACAGAGTCACTGGCAAGAATTCAAATACTGAAAACTATATTCTCGGTCTTTAGAAGACTCTTGTTAACTGTATTTATTTGCAATTCAATTGCAATGTTATGACACCAACAACACTGAATTATAAATTCCTATTAGGAAGGACACTAAACATGCTACTTTTCTGCTTGAAGTGTTTCTGTTATGGAAAGCCTGAACCAAAAAATTGATTAAAGTAACTGCTCCACATTTCTACACAATTATTTTACATTAAAACAAGGGACACAATATTATGTGGTTTTTGCCTTACAGTAAAAAAATTGGTCATACAAGAATTCTGCCAGTAATAGAACCTCAAAATATTCTCTAGAATTCTGTCTCTATACAAACTGGTATCAATATAAAAAAGGTATTTAGTTACCTCAGGACACAACGGCGTCTTCCCGTTCTGTGTTGCAATATCACTTGCTAAAAAGGCTTCTCAGAAGCATAATTTTCACAGGGCACAACACTGCTGTTCCTTTTGTATATGCTACTTCTTGAAGTAACACTGTGGGACACAACATGCTTTGCTGCCCTGATAATTAACGTGTTCCATTTTTCCCTTTCCTGTGTTCTGATAACAGCAACTGAAGTTAACCCCTTTAGCACGCAGTCTGCCACTCAATTCTACTGAAGCACCACAAGCCCAACTGCTGGCGGCCATTCTCATATACCAGTAATTCCCATCTTGGCTATAAGATCTCATTTCTTGTCACTGCAGTGGCTACAGTAAAGCTCTTGTCGCACCTGAACACAACTCTCACACTACTCAATTATAACCAAATTTATTTCAGTTTTCATCCAGTCATCTGGGAAACTTCATTTGCTGTGCCTAACAGCATTGCTTCACTAAATGTGGTGCTGTGCAGGACATATTTTATATGTGCTTGCATATTCCTTAATGTGAGATAGTTCATGGCCCGATAAAATAAATATAACACAAAAAGATTTATAGAAAAGTGATCTGGTGAGTTTGATGACAGTGAATTTTCAGGTGACTATGATTACACAGTACCGAACCCTCCACCGTATAAAGTAAATGTGTGGCCATACCCACATGTCTGCTGAAAGTGAAGATGGCTTCTGAGAAGCAAAATATTGATGAAACAGATGAGAATGATAGTGAGTGTGATGGGGAAGAAATTACTGGTTGAAATCACAATCACATGCAGAAATTCATTCAACACCAAAAACTACAGGGACCAAAGCCCCACCTGCAACTCCAGCTCCTGTTACATCTGTCTGCTTTTCATACACTGCTTTCACCTCGAGGTCATGCTGATCTTCATCATGATTCAAGAGTATCGAGTGAGAAAATGTTAGTTACACATCATCAGATCATCAACAACTGCATCCTGTTGGTGTGTAGGCAAATAATTGTATGGTTTCAAGGTATGCCTTCAAGAAACCATTTCCAACTTCTCCCAAAATCCCTCCTCAGTTGACAACAGATGCCAGTCTTAGGAAACCCAGATATGACATCTGAACCAAGATAAACCATGACAACAGGGCTCTCACAGACCACTACACTCCATTGCAGCAGCTAGCTTGGTGTCAATGGAGGCAAGAAACACACGACTGATTTAAAATAATCCAATGTGATTCTTGAGATTTGTTTCATTAAATTAAAATATTACCTGCATTGCTCTTCTAACTGAACTATATACTTCCTTAAAGTCCATAAACCTCTGAAATCTGTGATGCATAACCTGAACTCTTTCCTACTAAATGCAAACAAATTTAGTAACAGCTGACCCTCAATAGAGTCTGCAACAAAGATTGCCAGTCACTAAACTAATGAACAGTGTTAACTACATCAGAAAAACACAAAATAAAGCTTTCTATGAAGTTATGAAGCAATGGGACTCATAGAAAATAACTGCAGACTCAACTCAACTTGTATAATTTTCTTTCATTTTGTTATCAAATGTCAACATTTTCATTATGACTGTCCCAACACTTATAAAAGTATGGATGTCCATGGCTTCAAGAAGTGCCTTGGCATCTGCTAGACACAAGACAACAAGAAACTGCCTCATTCCTCAGTTTCAATAATCATAACATTTGAGACATTCCAACTAATTATGGTTTTTAAATTACAAGTGTATTGATTGCATTACATTTGGGCAGCATTAGCAGCCAGCCAGCCTGCAGGTATACAACCCACTGTTTCCATCGTGATATCAACAAATGTTTGAAGCACTCCATTTTTACCCTGATGATGGAGGCAGCATGTACCTCCTAACGATGGTATCCATTATAATAATACACAGTGTCACAACACACAAGACCACTGTCTGAGCTATATTGGGTTCCTTCACTTTTGAATTAATCAGATTCTGTGTAACAGACAATACAAAAACCAGCTACATGAACACACTGAAATAACGAGACCTAGAAGCCACATGCAAGATGTTAAGCAAACCACATTCATTTGCTATAACTGCATACAGAATTGAAATTAATATTCAACTGCGGAAAAAAATTGATTACCTTCTTCTTAAATATTGTACTGAAGTGGTTATTCCGAAACAACACAGCAAGCTCGTCTTGTCCCATGGCTGTATTCAGCTCACAAAGCCCATGGTATGTCAGCTGTGAGGCAGTGCGTTCCAGGAATTGTTCTGCTATCAGAGCTGCAAGAACAGAATCCCAAATTCTATACATACTGCACAGTAATGGAACTTCTGAGCAAATGTTGCATGCCACATGGTAGGGCCTAAACAAAGGTTCTAAATTTTTTTTTAACAAACGACACAGCATGCACGTGAACTACACTCTAATAATAAGAACATAAAACCAAGAGAAATAAATGACATCTCCCATCATCAGGAGGAAAACAACATGACCCAATGTCAGCTCAAGATATTTTAATATAGTAACAAATTGTTTACATGGAAACTTTTAATACAATTTTAAATACATTGGGAGGCTAATGTATGGAACAGTGAACACCATATTGCGTGCAGTGAAAAACCCCACTCAGAATAACCAGGAAATACACTAAAAGAAGCTCATCATTAGTAAATCTACACTTCAAGAAGCGCCATTGTGCGTGCCTAAGATAAACATCGGAACCAACCGTGATAACAAAATTTATACAGAAAGCATTAGTCATATCTAAAGTGCATATTGTTAGAATATCTTATGTAACAGTGTTTCCTTATCGTAGTGGTGCACCTGTGAAGATGATTCTTTTGAATCGAAACATGTAAGGCGAATGAGGACTGAAGTGTTGTAAATTCGTATGTCACACTGGACTGAACTTTTCATTATCTACTCTGTAAAGGTTCTAAAACTTGCTCAAACATATGAAGCCCTGTCAAGAAAGAAAAAAAAGGTAAAGCTATCCTTGTAATAAGCCACAGAGGCACACAGGGTTGTGAGACGTCCAGGTTCCCACATTTCCGGACAATCGGCTCACAGATGGCGGTCAGGTTGTCAGTCTTATGCACTGGCCGCCCTTTACACCCCAGGAAGATTCCTGGTACTCATTTCTGTTAGAGGCTGAGTCAACCCCGGGGCCACAGCGTGACTAGAAGAATAAAGTCAACTGAACAATACAATGTCCTCATCGGGAATTGAACCCACAACCTTCCAGTTGGTAGCATAGTGCCTCAGCCAACTATGCTACCGCATGCCCCCCCTTGCAACAACAATAACGTTATAATTATATAACATATGAAAATATGTGAAGCTAATAATAGTTAAATTGTAAGATTTGAGGCTTTCACGGCGGTGACTATGAAGAAAGCAGTCTTCTGGGATTTGGCACCGTGTATATGTGGTGTTAACCGACGTTTCGGAGGAACGTATCGCCCCCATCTTCAGGGTTGAAGAAAACACGGTCAAACAGACTGTTTGACCGTGTCTCACGGTGTTGTCGCTTGCAGATTTACTTATACTTTTTCTTCAACCCTGAAGATGGGGGCGATACGTTCCTCCGAAACGTCGGTTAACACCACATATACACGGTGCCAAATCCCAGAAGACTGCTTTCTTAATAGTTAAATTCATTTCCTATTTATTTATTTGCAAACTTAACAGAACAAAGGACAGTTACAAAAGCTGAAATAGTACCTTAAATTCTGTAACTTCAAGCTGTGTAACCCATGTGGCTGACAAAGTACTATTAAAGAAATCATCAAACAAATCAACTCAGTATCAGGTCTCTGAAATCTTTTGGATAATCATGAATTTCAGCTCATGCCAAGGTGAAGGTAAGATACTGGTCCTCAGACGTCAAGACATGGTAACCAGGTAAACCACTTATGTTTTCACTAAATGAGAGGTATGCAACTGCTCATGTTACAAAATTACAATCAAATGGTTTCTTTACAATAGCAATTACAGAAACTACTGCTACACAAACAAATATGATTATAAAATCAATAATATTAATTTACTTTCTAAACAATTCATGACATAAGGAAATAAATATCGAAAAAAACTCAGCTGAAAATCAAAGCAATTATGATGCCAAAAACAATGATCTTTTTGTGTTTGCTCAAAATGGGACATCACTCACTGAGGATTATGATCATGCACTAACGATTTCTGGCAGAGAGAAAAAGTGAATACTGACTGTTGTTCCAGCCATAATTGCAATAATAGGGTTCAAGAATTTGTTACATAAAAAACATTGGAGCATCATGCAGTGTTTACATTCACTGCAATCTGAGATGAAAAAATTCACCAAATACAGTGTTTCAAAAAGAGCTTTATAACTTTGAAAGCTTATATAAATTTATACAGAGGGCATACACAACGTTTTGAACTGTCATAATGTAGCAAAACACACCGAGTTTTACCTCGGTTAGTTATGGTTCAATGTGACTTCCACTGATAATGTGGCAGACTTCCCACCTGTAGTCAGTCTCTTGCCACGCTACGTAGCATCTCTGGCGTCACTTCTGCAACTGAGGCAGTAATTCGAGTTTGGAGCTCAATGACATTTGCAGGCAAAGGTGGTACGAACACTCAATCTTTAACGATTCCCCATAAGAAAAAATCCAGGGGAGTAAGATCCGGGGAATGAGGTGGCCATGCTATTGGCACTGCTCTACCAATTCACCAACCAGGGAGATGGTTGCTGAGGTACTCGCGCACTTCTCCAAGGTAATGTGGGGGTAAGCCGTCTTGCTGGAAGTGAATGTGTCCTTCCTGGTCATCTTCGTCTAACTGTGGAATGAGGAACTCTTGGAGCATGTCCAGATATACGATACCGGTAATGGTCATCTCCATGAAGAAGGGGCCGTACACTCTTTCTTTGCTGAGGGCGCAAAACCCGTTCCCCTTTGGGCTATCATGAACATGTTCCAGGGAGACACGTGGATTTTCACTGCCCCAGATCCTGCAGTTGTGGGTATTGACCTTACCACTGACATGAAACGTGCTCTCATCACTGAAAATTATGGAGTCCAGATACTTCTTATTGTCTTGTATCTGATGAAACATTTGCATATAGAATTCCTTACGAACCACCTTATCTGCACCCGTAAGGTGTTGAACAATGGATAGTTTTTACACTTTTAAGTGTAAATATTTTCGTAACACTCGTCACACAGTAACATTTTGAATACCAGTTCCCGAGATGCACGTCGCGTTGACTTTCATGGACTTCAAAAGAAGCTCTCCCTAATTTGTTCCACTGCAGCGTCAGAAACACGTGGCCAACCAGGTGGCTCGGCATGGAGCACAGAGCATCTGGTCTGAACAAAATTCTTGTACCAGGAGTAAATTGTAGGCCTACTGGGAGGTTCCTTGCGATACTGAGTGCAAAATTTCTTTTGAACTTGTGTAGCAGACTTCATTTCTTCAAACCAAAACACACAACGAGCATGCTCTGCACCTGTGAAAGCAGCCATCTTGATTTCAACTGCAGGAGCGCTCGCGGTGGCGGTATTGGGTACTACAGTACCACGTGCATGAAACTCGGTGTGTTTTGCTACACCCTGTATAATATTTCATTAAATTCAGGAATGCTAAATTGGAATTTCACCATATATACAAATTCAAAATATTGACTACAATGGTCAAACTGATTTCAGTCTCTCATGACAACTGAATGTTGATACTAATCCTGTTTTGGGGTGATGGCAATGTGTTGAAGTGAGACACAGTGTCAATGTATTCCATCCAACATCCTCGAAGTGTTCATCATCAAAGAAGCAGTGACTAAAATATCGCTTACAAATACCTGCACAGCCGCTGTTCTAGTGACAAGCAATACACAGTAACAGGTGGAACAGAAAGACAGACCTTGAAGGGGCCAATCTCATTTCTGCGGGGAAAGGATGGAATACACGGTGGTGAGAAACCCGTACGGATGGTGTGGCCTGTGTGGATGGCATGAGGGAATATTCCCCAGACAGGGCCAGGCCAAACCTAAAGCAGTGGTGTGGGTGTTTCAGACACCAAAGTGAATGGGGTAAGTTGCATGAAGCTGAGGACACCTCAAGAAACTGACTACACCATTTTAAGGTTACTTGTCTGTTTCACAATGTCTACCGGGTCATGACAATGAGTGCCGCCAAGTACCTTTGCCATAAATGATGCACTCTACCAGGTCAAAATGGGAGAATTAGGTCAAGTGAGAATTAGTAGGGGGACCCAAAGGATTAAGCAAAAATCCACCCAGTGTCACCTTTCCCACCACAGATCCCTAATGAACTGCCCTGAGCTCAAACTCAAATTGTCAAGATGAGAAGACAGTGACTAATTACCCAAGGTCTGCCTTGGCTTGCTAACCCTCTCATGACACTAAAATGGTGGACATGTGCTACTGGTATCAGCAAAGGTGACAGATACTCATTCTGCCTTTATGATGGGTGCACAGGATCTCCCAAATGTTGGGAGTACAGTCCATGGTTCCTCACCGCAAAACAGGATCAATATAAGAACCAGTCTAGCAGTTCATACATTAAAGCAGCATATAACACAGCCTTCCTGACCCAACTACGGTAATGACATGTATGTCAAACTGAAATCGTAAGCCCACTTTTTCTTATACTGCATGTGCAATGCCAAAGTAACAAATGAACTTTAATAAAACAAAAAAAAAATTTTTTCTCACCTTCAGTAACTAAATCAATCTTGCTTGAGCATTTATTGAGGATAATCTTCTCAACTACTTGGTTGTATCCCAAAGACCCCAGTGCTATTACGGTTTCATGGCACTGTGGGTCAACGAGCCATCCGTGATAAAGAGGGATGTTGAGCAAATCGAATATTATACATTCTGGCGTGTATTCAAAATCCTTAACTCTGTGAAAGCAAAAACAAAATATGATAAAAACATCACAAAATATTCTAGTGAAATATGAGAAATGTATCACTTAATCTACCACAAATTATTGGTAAAAGTGAATGTGATTTGGTGAAAGGGTAGATATACAACCTAATGTCTCTGATTGACTGCTAAAACCTACGAAGGACTCCGAAGTTGACTTGAATACAGAGTCCTCCAAATTTAGTCTCCTTTGTTGAAGAGAGCAGAGCAGGAGCCTCTCAACAGAACTCACATGCAGAAAGCAGTATCGCTGGTTCAGAGGAACAGACACTTTACTTTGAAAGAATAATTTGTCAACAAAAGTCATTGTCATCTTAGACCATGTGCTCAGAATTGTAATTATACAGTTAACTAACTACACATGTGAACACATGTAACAAATTCTCTTGCACATTAAATCAACAGAAGTCATGGTCCATCTTTGTACTTGGGAGGTCATGGTTTCACATCTCAGCATACACCACCAACTACTGTGAATGAAGGTTCTGCTGCTTTTCCATAATCTCTTCAGGTTACAATAAACAGACCATGTACATATTTCTCAATTTAATACTCAAAATCAATCAGTGATTTAACACAAGCACCTGGCATTATTAAATAAACCAGTATTTAAATTAGACAGGATCACATGGTATTGTACAGGATTTGGAAGTTCTCATGCCCTCACTGAGTTGCAATCCTGACATTTGCCTGGAAGGGCTGACAACAGCTGCAAAAAAGACAGCATGGCCCCAACCGAGCATCTCATCTGGTTCGTTGTTACTTACTCTTCCTATAAGTTGACCTATTGAGGATCACAGTCACTAGGGAGAATATAAAGAAGGGAACAAAAGAAGAGTGAACAGTTTATAGTGCCTGTTCTCTAAAACTTACTTTATGAAGCCTAGGAATGCTTAAAATGTACTCCTGGGTAAAATGTAAAGATAATTTTTGTGTCCTAAAACCTTATTAAGTATAATTTAAATCAGAGAATATAATTTCCTTCTAACTTCCAAACGTACGCCTTACACATGAAAGACTGATGAGATGTGTCAGACCTGCAAACAACAGCATGAGCTTACCCTGTGAACTTAACATTGACATCTAATCCTGTGTGGAGCCGTGGAAGAACAGCAATAGCATCGTGCATGTTCTGCTCGTAGTTCAGCTGATGGGGCAGAGTCAAATCCTGAAATGAAATTTAGCACACGACAATATTACATTGTTATTGGCGTGAATGCAGAGGGGCAGTGACTGCACTAGTACTTCACATTTGGTAGCTCCCAGCCTGAAGACAAGACCATCCTGAATTAGCTTTCGTTAGCTTCTGCAGCTGCTCATGGCAACTGCTGTGTCATCATCTCAAAATACGCTACAACTGCTTCCTTCCATAATTTTCACAAATTATCATGATGCTACAGAACCTACATAGTAGTTATACAGGATGTCCCAGGTAGAATGGTCAGTATTCTGGGAGGTATATATGTACGTGTGTCCTATTCTGCATGGTTTCCAAGACAGAGCTGCTTCACTGTGCAGTTCCAAAACTGTTCATAAGAAAGAGATATTACATGCTGTTTCTAATTTACTGTTCAAGTGACAAAGTTGGTGCAGTTTCGAAAATTCCACCATCAACATCACTGCACTTTGCAACTCATGTGAGGACATGACCTGTTGCTCGTCTGAACAGTGTACAATGAAATAGCACTATCTCTGAAACCGTTCGGAATAGAACACTTTTTCGCTTAGACTGACAGATACTGTGACCTCCCAGAATACTGAACTTTCCCCCTGAGAAACCTTCTATAAGTCCAAGGATGAATTAATGTGGTCCACAAACAAAAACACTTATAGATGCCCGGTGTACTGCTTCTGACAGGTACATACAACTGAATGTTTAGGCCTATAATCAGAGAAACAGGACAGCTGTGGATTGGATAAACAAGCTTCACTCTCACACAGTGTGACAGGAATATGCACATTCTCCTGTCCAAGGCAACTGGAGCATGACTGAACATTCATCACTTTAATGCCTCATACCCACACCACCTACATGCCTTCATAATGCCCTGTCAAGGACTATGATACATATATCTTCACTGGTAAGTCTAGGCTGTTCTACTGGCAGTGTGCAGACCACAAGTTCGTTGTGTTCTGCCTGCAAGGGCATCCTTCAACTCACCAAAGACGTGTATTCATGCTTTCTCCTCTTTAAAAGTGGTGGTGAATTTTGTAGCAAAAACAAGTGAATGAAAAGTTCTCAGGTATCCACAGTAGTGACACTAGACTAAGGTCTTCTGGACTGGGTCTTGCAGATAAACACTTCCATTTTGAGGAACATGTTGTCTCCATCTTTACATTGAAGATGGAAGCACTATGTTCTTCCTACATGTCCATATCTGCCTACAAGAGTACACATTGTCAGAACCCATAAACTGTTTATGTACTACAGTCCATTAACAATGCAACAAAATGTTCCTTCTTTCTTTCACTTTCAACACAACATGTTTCAGCTGTAAATGGCCATCTTCAGGTGTCTTAATATACTAAAACTGCTACACTACTATACTGTGTTAAATTTGAACTATGTTTTTGAACCTTGTGGGTCAAATTCTTACTTGTGCGCTTGTGCTTCACATATCTGATTGCTTCTGGGCAGATATTTGTTATCAGTTTCCTTCAAAATATATATTTTTCATAATGTGGCCCCTGCATAGGTATAATGCAGCATCTCAATAGTTTCAAGATGGGCTGACCCTCACATCAAAGTCAATTTCAATTGTGATTATTATGTGTTCTATTACAAAGCATTAAAATATCTAGATCTCCAGTAAAAGAAAATAAAGGTTCTACGTTAATTCCATAGGATGCCAAGAGACATAACCCAGAGATCTGTCAATGTACCTTACATTCTTACAGGCTGTTCCTTTACAAGGTATTACAAAGGCAAAATGATTGAGGAATTCCCATAACACATTGTTAATAATGTAACTAATGATGGAGTGATGATGAAACCAACCACTAAATTATTTATATCAGCCCCATGGGATACATTTTTGTCAATGTTTTCAATGTTCAATTTCTGGGAGGAACTTGATGAATAAAGCTGTAAACACTGAACACCTGTAACTGACATGCAGAGAAGGGAAAATACATCCTGAAATAGCAGTAATATATGACCTCAAATGTGAGGATATGTGGGTCAAGTTAACGCTGGGACAAGGGATTTCTATGGTTTTCATCAACATATTCAGGAAAATTTCAGCACATCTTGAAGGTCAAAGACAAAGCATGCAGGAGACCCTAGAAGAGAAACTCAGTGCAATTGAAAGTGAAAGTGGAAATGCTGAAGTGCAGTGGAACAATATAAAAGAATGCATGTTAGATAATATTAGTGAACTGGTTGGTAAAGTTGAGAAGATAGCAAGAAAACCATGGGTTACACAGGAGATGATGAGTAAAATGGAGGAGCGAAGTAAATGAAAGAATGTCAACAATGAAGAAGGCAGGAGAAAATACAGGAGACTGAGGAATGAATTGAAAAGAGCCACGGACAGGGCCAAAAAGGAATATCTTGAAAAGATATGTAATGAGATTGTGGGAGCATTCCCATAGTGTCTGGCAGACAACCGTCACCCCTTTCAGAAAGTGCCAAACAGGCAGCTGTGACCATAGAGACACGGAATTTATACCCTCTCCAACTACTATGACTTATATACCAGCTACATATATTTATAAACTTCACCGTGGCCCCGCCTTTCCGTGCATGGCCCAATGGATGCATGCCGTGACAACTGCAACTTTAGCTCCGCCTTCTGGCCGGCAGTATTTTAGACCGGGAGCCAACGATGCAATCAGTTCAACTCGAAACGGCAACAAAGACAGAGGCATCAACTCCACTTCTGCGACCGGGTAACTGACAGTTGCCGCAAACCTTCAGCGAACGGATCTTCCGCAACCCAGCAACCGGCCGAGCCAGTTGATCCTACCGGCACACGCAGCACTGCATCACCGCCCAGACAGGCCAGCCAATGCTTGAATATTATACGTATATTCTGTGTTCTGTATATTGACTTTAAACGATTCAATATATACAATCATATAGTTTCGTGTGATTTGTCTATTGGAGCACTGATGACAATCCCACATTGGTGACCCCGACCTAGGCACCAGAGCAACAGCAAAGCTGGTCGCACAGCGATTCGTGTGGCCAGGTGTACAGAAGGATTGCCGCACCTGGGCACGAGTTTACCAGTCCTGCCAGCGCTCCAAAGTCTCCCGCCACACAGTCACTCCACTGGGCGACTTTACACTGCCGGCAGCCCGCTTTCTGCACATCCATATCGACCTTGTAGGACCCCTTCCGACGTCAGCGGGCTACACATACTGCCTCACTGCAGTCAACCGTTTCACCCGCTGGCCAGAAGTCGTCCCCATTCCGGACATCACAGCCGACACAGCGGCACACGCCCTACTGACCGGCTGGATATGACGCTTCGGTTGCCTGCAGACGATCACCACCGACCAGGGACGCCAGTTCAAATCACAACTCTTCACATCCCTGGCCAGGCTGTGTGGCATCCATCTTTCACGTACAACCGCCCACCACCCAGCAGCTAACAGACTCGCGGAACGCTTCCACCTAACGCTGAAGGCAGCCATTATGTGCCACGCGGACCAACAGTGGACTGAGGTGCTTCCCCTGGTTCTCCTCGGAATTCGCACTGCTTTCAAGGAGGACCTACAAGCATTGGTAGCTGAGCTCATGTACGGTGAGCCCCTCAGAGTGCCCAGCGAGCTGCTAATACCGACCACCAAACCAGCAGACGCTGCGCAGTTAATCATTGAACTACGGCAGCATATGGCTCGACTCAGGCCGATTCCGGCATCACGGCATGCCTCCCCGGCTACGTTCATGCACAGAGACCTCGGTAATTGCACTCATGTCTTCCTCCAGCAGGACGCAGCCCGCAGGGTATTGGAGACCCCCTACCGTGGCCCCTACCAGGTCCTCACGCGGAGAGACAAGACGATGCAAATTCTTGTACACGACAGGCCCGTCACTGTGTCAACTGATCGGGTCAAGCCTGCCTACATGCTGAACGAGTCCAGCCACGGGGCCCACACGACTTTCAACCCAACAACCATAGCACCGGCCTTACCCGCCACACCTCCACAACTCGCCGCAAAATCTACGCGCTGCGGACGTCAAATCGCCTCCCTACTCGCTTCAACAGCTGAGCAGACATCTCCGCGGGGGGGTGATGTGGGAGCATCCCCACAACATCTGGCAGACAACCGTCACCCCTTTCAGAAAGTGCCAAACAGGCAGCTGTGACCAAAGAGACACAGAATTTACACCCTCTCCAACTACTACGACCTATATACCAGCTACATATATTTATAAACTTCACCGTGGCCCCACCTTTCCGTGCACGGCCCAATGGATGCGCGCCGTGACAACTGCAACTTTAGCTCCGCCTCCTGGCCGGCAGTATTTAAGACTGGGAGCCAACGGTGCAATCAGTTCAACTCGAAACGGCAACGAAGACAGAGGCATCAACTCCACTTCTGCGACCGGGTAACTGACATAGTTGCCGCAAACCTTCAGCGAACGGATCTTCCACAACCCAGCAACCGGCCGAGCCAGTCGATCCCCCGGCACGCGCAGCACTGCATCACCGCCCAGACAGGCCAGCCAACGCTTGAATATTATACGTATTTTCTGTGTTCTGTATATTGACTTTAAACGATTCAATATATACAATCGTACAGTTTCGTGTGGTTTGTCTACTGGAGTATTGACGACAATCCCACAAGATTATAGAATTTCAAAGAACAGGACGTTATGATTTGATGTACATGAAAACAAAAGAACTAGGATGGAAAGAGAATCATGGGATTCAAAATATTGGCATCGAAGACTCCCAGGGGAATAGAATAGTAAATCAGAGGCAAGTGCTGAAAATTTGGGAAAATTATATTACAGAACTATATGATTGACCTAATCGGCCAGAAACCTTAGAAGTTGAAACAGAAGAAGAAGTAGATACAGATGAGAAAGGACCATATATTTTACAAAGTGAGGTGGAAAAAGCTATCAAGGAAATGAGGAAGGGGAAGGCTACAGGAGATGATGATGTACCTGGAGATGTGCTCAAGTTACTGGGAGAAGGTGGTTTAAAAACTGACAAAACTAATGAACACCATATATGAAATTGGAGAGTGGCCCAAGGACTTTACAGAAGTTACAATGATTGCCTTAAAGAAAAAGACAAAAGCTACAAAATGCAGCGACCATCGCACAATAAGTCTTATTGCACATACAGCAAAAATAATAGCAAAGATACTTAAAAGAAGAATTGAAAGGAAAATAGAGGATGTACTTGGAGAAGATCAGTTTGGATTTAGAAGAGGAAAAGGAACCAGGGATGCAATTGGGATGATGAGAATTATAGCGGAACGAACTTTGGAGATAGATGAAGAACTGTGTGTTTGCTTCATAGACTGGCAGA